TGGAAAAATAATAGAGAATAATATCAAAAAAATGCTTTTTGACCAAACCTACCTAAAGTTTGCGGTTGCCGTGGCGTCGTCACAAACCGTGGATACACAATTGACATATCAAAATATTTGCAAAGGATTAATGAACAGCCACTGAAAGTTTCAGCATGTTAGAGTAAGTCTTCTTTTCAAAAGCTTGGTAAAAACCTTATGGGGTTGCATCCACCTCCCCCCTCCTCTCCCTTGTACGTCCGAGAGTTAATCATTAGAGGGTATCAAGACCATTCTGGATTTTGTAGCAACATTTGTGAAGTAGCGATTTCTCAGAATTCAGCCACCAGCGGCATAATTCACCTCGTGGACGATAAAAAGTTGCAATAAACCCAACTTGTGCTTCTCTTTCGAACTTAGGTTGAGCCGGTCATTCAAGTAGGTCATGAAGGCGTGGTCCATCACATGTTGTTGTACGAGTGCAACGATACTTTCCCAGATCACCATCTGAATTATACCGGTCACTGTTATACTCGTAATATGCCTCCAGCGATCGCAGAGTGTACAGGAGGATCAGCTATGGCCGCTTGGGCCATTGGTGGAAAAGTAAGCAAAGCTTGGTTCTTTTTTTTAAGTGGAAATAACAAAAGAAGTAAAATAAAATAAAGATAAATTAATCAATGTGTCAGGCTTCTGGCTAGACAACAAGGCCGTACTAATCGGCGGCAAGTGCCAGATTGAATTTGCATTTGGAGTATTCGGTTTTTAGGAAGGAGGAAACTCAACCAACAGTTGACAATTAAACGTGATTCCAGGCCCAGCATTCGAACCCTCGTACATTGGTGGGAGGCGTGACCATCAATGAGTAACTAGAAGGAAACTGTATCACTTGCCCGGTGGTAATTATAACAAAATATGCATAAGTATCCTACACAAAATGAGAGTTACTGACAACACTCAAGAGCTGTGAGGGCCTTCGAACTAGTAGCACTAAGCCTTTTTTATATTTCTTTCTTTCGGTTTAAGTTTCATGCCTGTAAACTAGCTAGTTGTAGCTAAGTGCACTGACCACTATGAGCAACAAAATCTGAACATTTGTTGTTTTGAACGTAGTTGTATTCGGTAGACGTCGAATCTTAAGTTCGTATTATTTCTGCATATCCCTTGCTACTGCAGGAAATTGTTTCTTTTCTTTTACAAGGAATTCTATTATCCCGAAAACGTCGGATTTCCACTCGGGAGGGCTGACAGTCCAAAAATTGTGATATTGGAGATACATTACGACAATCCTGAGGAGAAGGAAGGTACTCTGTTACAGATTGCGCTAATTATTATTATTTTTTGTGGTTACTGGCTTCTAACCAGTCACCAATATGTCATCGTGTGCGTTAGTAAGTAAGTAAGATAGTCCGTGACTTTTCGGATCTCACGAAGCGAGGCCGAAAATACCACGAGATTTGCTCAAGTTCTTTTGATCGATTTTCACCTTTAAAACGCGAGTTTTAATAAAAATAACTACTATTACTGTTTAAAATTGGTTCCGTTTAACTTTATATCACTATTGGAGTGAAAAAAAAAAATGCGAATTTGCTAGCAGAGGCGTAGCGTTACGGAGCATTACGAATGATCCGTAGCCGCTGACCGCCCGAAGGACATTGCCGACTCGTTTTCCCATGCTCTTGCTACACGACTTTACATTGTTTGGATAATCAGGTGAGCAGCCGCAATGTTTTCTAAAAACCCTAAGTACATAGGAAGGGAATTTAACTATGGACATGGACTTTGCCTCAGTCATGATTTTGTTTTCTGCCCAGGGTGCTGTTTTTAGAATGATTTTATTAAAATGTTGACCTTAGTGAATTTCTGTCATTCGCTACGTCCATTGACACTTTGTTTGGTTCTCGAATGTCTTTGTTCCTCTTACTTATTAGATAGTTTTGTTATTCTGATAGGGATATGCTACCCTGAATAAGGCTCTGAAGACAAGTCTCTTGTACATGTTACTACCTCAAATGGGTACCTTAGTTCCTCTCTGTTGTGATCGTCTACATGAAGGTCGGTTCTAAAAAGAACTGTTGTTGCTGAGATCACACTACGTGAACTACTGATACTCCTTGGTTCAAGTTGTAGTCAAGCAGGTCTACATCACGTCTTAGGTCTTGCCTATTGCTGTAAACTGACCTGCACTATCAAATAAAGTTGTATGTATGTTTGTGTATGTATGTGTGTGTGTGTGTGTGTATGTATGTATGTAAACCTTTCATAGCATGTGTACCTTTGTCATTTAGGACTGATTGACAGTTCTGGTATGAGAATTTACCACACCAAGCAATTGAGGAAATACGACGCAGGAGTTCTTCTGGTCGGAGCAGGTGTTGACTATACTATGCTTATCCCGCCAAGACAGAGAGACTGGCAAACCAATGGCTTCTGTACCAAGGACTGTTCAATGAAGGTACGGGGCATGTGAATAACAGAGGAGATAGGTGTTGTGAAATTCCTCTTTTTGTTTTAAGACACTTCTAAAGGTCGTTGATGATTTGCAACGATTGCCCAAACGTGGCAAAGAAGATTGAGAGTTCTTCACACTTCACGCCAATACGTTTCACTCGTGGAATTTCGGGCCCAAAGAATACTTTATTAGATTTTTTTTTTTCTTTCCAACTAATGTTGGAAAAGCTCGTGGTGACCTGGTCTACTTGTTTGGAAGATAAACTTGTGCAAGACCACAGTTTCTTTCTTTTTTCTGCCCGCGCGCAATACTCATCTAACAGCACGAATTACGTGACACTAATAAGCACTAATGACTGGCCCCAAGGGAGAGAAGCTGAGAGAGTGAGTTTTGTTTCCCCGTGGCCCTCATTGTTGAATGTCAACATTAAGGTAGAGGGAAAAAACACTTACTGTTTGCCATGGGACCAGTAATTAAGTGTTTTGTTATGCCTCCTAACTCAAATATAGGAAGAACTGCAAAAAAATTATTTGCTTGAAGCCGGCAGGCACAACAAATTTGCCGCAGTTTTAAGGTGTACGAACTGATCACGTGCAAAGCGAAAGACGTGCAAGTTGTTGTTTCCCTAGGGAGTTAGTGAGCTTTGTTCGCCCCAGTGAGTTAGCGAGTTTTGACCCCCGACACGTGACAAGTTCTCCTCCAATCGGAAAACGTGTTTAAGTTGGGAGGTATAACAACGATGCTTATTAACAGACAATAACAAAACCAAAATCAACGGTTGCATGCCAACTTCCTAGATCCCCATTTAATCCTGCAACTGATGTCATCTTACCTGAGGTGTATAGAGAGACGATATCTCTCGGTGGAGGGAATTCTTGCAGTGCATTTTAGTTTATATATATATCTGACCGAATTCACAAAAACATGCCCGCAATGACTCAAAGACAGTCCCACGGGCCAGAAGTCTTCTGATCACCCCCCTGGCCAGGAGATTGGCCTCTCACGCATGCACTTGGCGTGGGCCACTTTAGCAGGGTGCCATGTCAACACAGAAGCCTCAAACAAGGTTAAACAACTGAGTAAAATACCCAGAAACACCGTCAATATCAAGGTTATTTCACACTGAAAACTCAAAGTCTGGCTACCTGAGGGTGTCAGTACAAGACAACCCCCCCCCCCCCCTCACTACTTTTGACAGCTGGCCGTCAGCAAATTACCAGCAGATAGGTCAGTGCCTGGGCCATGCGCCCGGGCTGGCTTAAACGGAGTCCACCCTGGGTTTAAGGTCGCCAGCTTAGCCTGGATTCGGGCGCACCAGGCGAAAACCTAGCGGGCATGTTTTTGCGAAATCGCTCAGATATGTA